GGCTGCTTCTCATTTGTCCTTCCGCCCGACAGTAGGTACAATAGAAAGCTGCTCTAAAACAACTGTGTGAGACCTCAACACATCAAACAACAGATACAAACAACAAAAAACTTATTTTATAATCTGGCTGATGGCAGGTACAACTAAATGTGGGAGAAACTAAATAAAAACAATAGTGCAGATTAAAAGGTGTTATAAAGGATGAGAGTAACTGACAAGGGGAATCTCACACATACGAGAGCCAAAAGGTACACTTGGCTCTAGTGGGTAGCGTTTGTAGGACTGTCAATGCGTCCTCGCCCTTTCTTTTAATCAGATTGGGTTACAATGTAAACCTCTAAGATAAAATTAAGTTTCATAGTGTAAACCATATAGATAGGTTAATACCATTTCCATAGAACAACTCATGTGATATAGAGCCAAGTAAGCTGGCTGGACACTGTGTTCAGTTTTTATTTTTTTTTAAATTTTTTATTTTTGTTGTGCAGGTAGTTACAGGGTATCAACAGACTCAACAACAGCGTATTTCAACATTTGCAAGAATTAGGTAGTGGCATGAGTATTCGCATATTTTCTTTATATATATATAGATATAGATATATATCACGCTCAGCTAAACAGTTATACTGTCAGAGGAAAGTTAGATAAGTAGTGTTAGTGCTAGTGAAGCTGCGATGTGCTAACATGTTATGCATTGTAGTAGTAGCCGGACAATATGCAATACTAAGATAAGTTATGCTGTGTGTAAGTAGGCTAGTAGGCATTAGATAACACCGTTTACCTATCTATGTGCTAGGTGCACTATTATTATATGACATGCTAAACAGCTTATAAACTTGTTAAAACCAACATGGGTACAACCACTGGGACCGCTCCAACCGTGGACTGGAGGCAGCCAAAACCAAGAGAGAACAAACTTATTGCGTGTGAGAATTTGCCATGCTGAGTTCAGAGTGTCCGATAGCCTGCTGTGAAGCCCTGTTTCAGCCTATTCCGGTCGGGTAGGTGGTACCTGAGTCCGCCGATCGCCTTAGCCTGTGTGAGAGCAGGGCTATTGGGTAGATTCTGCCATTGTTCAGTAGGGCTCTGTGTGGCACGGCTTTCCTCTGGCTCTGCTGGGTTTGCACCACGACTTTCTTTGCGTGTACCGTGAGTGGAGCTCTGCTGCAGCGGGCTATATGGTGACCGGTCATCTGTTTTCTTTCAGGTGCTGATCTCGCTCCTGGGTGCCGTCTCTTCTGTGTGGAGCCGCGGCGTTTTGGAGGCGGGAGTTCTCTTCTGCCCCGGGGTTGCGTGAGGGCTGGTGCTTGTGGGCCACGAGCCTGGAGACCATCGTGGTCCAGGTTCGACCTTTTCAGGGTGATGCGAGGGGTCTTTGTACGTCTCTTGGGTTTCCGCGTTGCTGTTCCCCGCATACGTGGCTGGCACCTCTGGGGCTCGCCCCTTGTTGCTCTCAACCCGGGAGGGCCTGAAATGAGGAAGTCGGAGGTTTGGGTTGTGGTGTTGCCCTGAGGAGGGCCCCCGTTCACCCACCCGCTGTCGGCTCCAGTCTTAGTATGCAGGATGTCGGGTTGTGAAGTCGCTGTGGTCTGCGCGTGCTGTTGGTGGGCATCCCCATTGTGCAGGTACCTGGCCTCACCCTGGTAGGGGCTTGGATCCCTGGGTTTGCAGGCAGCGCAGTGTCGTGGGCACTTTGGCGGATGCGTTCCCAGAAGGTTTGGCACACCATATTGAATCGGTGCTCAAAGTCCGTTCTCCAGGCCTGGATCTCTAGGCTGTTGGTGAGGGTCTCGCTTTCAGGCTCGCCGGCCATCTTAGGCGTGCCATGTGGTCGCTGGTCCATCAGGAGATGTCCCCCTTGCAAATGGGGCTTCCCCAGTGGGGACCGGGGGAAGCCCCGCCGGTCTAAAGGGGGGTTGCAGGGCCACCAGAGGTCCGTTGCGTGCAGCTAACCCTGCACCGGGAGATCGGCCGCTTCCCCCATGCATCAGGTCGCCACAACCGCCGAGCCCCATATCCAAACGGCTCTGTTTCGCTGCCGTCGGTGTGAGTTACAGGGGTCGCTGTGCACCCCCTCGTGGCTGGTCAGTCATCAGTGCCTGGGTCAGGGCCGGACTGGCCCACCGGGATACCGGGAAATTTCCCGGTGGGCCGCGGCACCTGGGGGCCGGCTGCGTTCCTGGGCCGGCCCTTTCGGGCAGCTGCAGCTTCTCCCCTCCCACCCCTGTAGCGTGGCCGGGCTGCACTCCGGTCCGCGGTGGCCGGCCGGAGTGATAGGAAGGTGCACACTGAGTGTGCACTTCCTGTCAGTCCGGCCGGTTACAGGAAACAGAAAC